TGGCAATTTTTTGACAAATGATGCCATTTCTGGCAATTGGGACAGGGGAAAAATCTTACAAGATCGTTCGTTCAGCTAGTCAGTGAAAAATCGAAGTGCTAACTTCGGTAAAAAAATAATATAAAGCCAGACAATTTCCCCAAAACATCTCTTTCAAACTTGCGCTTTGTTTGATTCAACATCTTTTCCATGAGTATTCAAGTAGTCTGCAATGTACCACTTTTAAGTAAAACACACTTTACAATTAATATAATTGTTCCCTCCTCCCCCCCCAAAAAGAAGGAAATAATATAGTAGACTCTAATTATAATCATTTCCTGCCCAGAACTGAGGCATATGTAAAACTCTAAAAAGAAGATTCCAGATCTTTCATTTAAATTCAAATTTATTAATGTTTACATCTAAAACCAAAACGAAAGCTAAAACCCAAAAACAAATTCACGGAATACAAATAACATTGCCAAACAAACAAACAACAACAACAACAACAAAAAAGTCTCTAGAATTACATCTCGTTCAAGGGGAACGTCATATTTCATGGAGCTCGTAATAATTTTTCCTTTCAAAACTGATCACCACTTTTAATTAAAACACACTTCACAATTAATAAAATAATGAAAATTAAAAATACAAAAATTATGCATTAAAATGTGATATAATGCATTATTGTTGTTCATTCCATGTACATAGCGATCACTTTTCTCTTAAGTAAACATCACAGAATTTCGCGTTGTACACAGACATTGTATATGTTACATGCATCATTCCCCCCCCTCGTCATCATGCATACTCTAGGAATTGCTCACATTACATATTTTATTATATGTACTAGCGGGCAAACCCGCCAGCTGAGCGGGCTGAAGCCCGCTTATCATTGTTCGTTTTTAAGAGATTTCCGGTTAAATTTCGGGGGTATTCGAAAGTTGGACCGAACTACCAGTGTTCAGCGGTTATGCGCGGGTTGCTTCCGCTTTGTTCACATATGCATGCGGAAGATACTGTATAAACGATACACATCAGTAAAAGCAAGAAAACACCCATGGAGCCAGCCTGTGAGCCGGGCACGAAAGTTGGACTGAACTACCAGTGTTTAGCTTTCTTGCGCGGGCTAAGCCCACTTTATTCATTTATGCATCTAGAAGACACTGCACTTCCTAAGGGGATGGATGCCTTCGTGGTATTCGAAAGTTGGACCGAACTACCAATGTACAGCGATTTTATCTGGACTGCGCCCGCTTTAGTGACGTATGCATGCAAAAGATACTGCATACATGTTTAAACATGTGAAAAATCACGAAAACACAGATGCAGCCAGCCCGCTCGCCGAGATTTCAAAGTTGGATCGAACTACCAGTGTTCAGCGGATTTGGGTGGGCTTAGCCGGCTCTATTCTCGTATGTATCCAGAAGATACTACATACACGATACACATGTGTAAAATCACGAAAATACCCATGCAGACAGCCCTTTTATGGGTATTCGAAAGTTGGACTGAACTACCAGTGTTTCAGCGGTTTTTCTCAGACTGCGCCCGGTTTATTCACATATGCATCCAGAAGATACTGCTTACAGGATATACATGCGTAAAACCGCGAAAATACCCATCGAGCCAGCCCGTTCGCTGGGATTCGAAAGATGGACCGAACTACCAGTGTTCAGCGGTTTTGCGCGGGCTGCGCCCGCTTAATTCGCCTATGCATCAAAAAGCATACTGCATACATGATACACATGCGTAAAATCACGAAAACACCCATGGAACCAGCCTGTTCGCCGGGATCCGAAAGTTGGACAAAAGTACCAGCGTTCAGCGGTTTTGCGCAGGCTGCGCCCGCTTTATTCGTGTATTCACCTAGAAGATTCTCCATACACGATACACGTGCGTAAAATCACGAAAACACCTATGCAGCCAGGCCGCTCGCCGTTCTGCTCTGAAAACATAAACGTCAAAAACTTTATACGTATATAAAAATATTATTTTCAGATTAACATTCTTATAACAGTAAAAATTCAGATTATTGTACCTATTTATCAAAACTAATGTGTTGCATATGATTATATACTTATATGTTACTAATGTGTTTGCATTAGTATAGTAATGTATCAAATTATATACATATTTATATAATGTTTAATTTGCCCAATACCCAGACCAAAGCTTAAATTGCACCAAAGCCTACTGAAGCTCGACTCCATTATATTTCTATTTTTTAAGTATATCGTAATTCTAGTATTTCTTCTATGTATGTGAATCACAACTTCAGACAAATTTCATCTTGATAATAACTATGCCTTAAAAACCGATTTTAATTTCTAAGTGTGTCTTTCTCTGGGAAACAAACACTTTGACAGAGGTTGAGATTTTTAAGGAAAGAAATGCCTCCACCAACATGTCAAAGGCTTGAATTAATGAACGTGAATACATTTTTCCTTCCCAAAAGTGCAAAAGTTGAGCTACCTGGTCTTGCACATGCAATGCTAATGACTTTAGCATTGCATGCTCCTGCAGACCTGTTGAATGTGAACCATATAAGAGAATGAAAATAGTTACCCATGCAGAGTTTTACGATAGTTCTCTGGTTGTTAGCTGATAGAATTCGAAGAAAAATTTTTTCCCTCTGTTGTAGTCTAGTATGTTGACAACTAGAATTGTATCAGCTGGGCATCAAAGAACTTCAATGGTATCTGAGAATCCATTCATGTCCTTTATCTCAATCATTAGTAATATCGCTTATGGTGTCAAAAGATATGTTTATTGCGAGTCCTGGTTCACCAAGAATATATCTGCCTTGCATAGCCTTTGTTTGAAACACACAGAAAGATGAAGATATAAAGAATTACAACATGAAGGGTATAAAGAAAAGACATAAAGAACTGCAATGTGCTATTATTCTAACAAGAATAGCCCACCAGCGGCCGAGCGGTAAAGTCGCTGAACACCGGTAGTTCGGTCTGAGGTTTGAATCCCGCGAACGGGCTGGCTGCATGGGCGTTTTCGTGGTTTTCCCCATGTGTAACGTGTATACGAGCCAGTTTCCCTTAGAAAGTCCTCCACGAAGGCATCCCTCCCCTTAGGCAGATAGCTCTCGAGGCTTTGCCATAATAACATACACACATCTAACAAGAATAATTTGAAGGGTTAATAATTTTTCAATAAAAAATTTTTGAAACAAAAAAAAAATAAATAAAAAGTTACTGTCAGAGCTATCTGTAAGGTTCACTATATCAAAATTTCCGATATTTGCATCTTCGCTACAGACGTATAAAAGAGTACTAAATGTGAAGGTGATTGGACGGGGGGAAAAAAAAAGTTTCATTTGTTATAAACTGGGTTTGTTTTAGCAGAGTTTAACTGCTTTGTTCTTTAAAGCATGATCCAACATAAAAGTCAATCTAAATGAAAATTTTCTTATAGAGTTTTTATCCACAACTCTTTGGTAATGCAAAAAATTCGTGGATATTTGGCCTTTAACTGGTATGATACATCGTTTATGTATCCTGATAACTCAGGTATCCCATTTTACTTAATGACTTTTTTTACAAACCAAGGGATTAACACATTTTCCTCTTTTCAATACTTTCAATGAAAACATTTAGCACACTCTATTTGAACTATTAATTTTTCTGGTGCATAAGTGGCTGTGTTTGAAAGATATTGTCAAGAACGATAATTTCATTTATGGTTTTGTAGGACTCCAGTCTTACTATTTGCATCTGGAAGTTTTACCATAGACATAAAAAGTAAATTTTCAATAAAGCATTAAGCATTTTGTATTTTACATTTATTATTGAAATACAGTCAAAAGTCGTTAATCCGGACTCGTTGGGACTTCGGCGATTCCGATTATCGATCATCAGTTTAAATCTCATAAGATGGCATGCAGAAATTCTAAAATTAAAAATATGAAACCTTAATTTATGAAATAAAGAACAATTATAATCTAAAGAGTATCAAAATTTACAAAAAAAAAAAAAAAAAAAAAAAAAAAAAAAAAAAAAAAAAAGAAGCTTAATATTTATTTGTTTACTTTATTAAACATTTCTTTCAATGTAAGTTGTTTTAAGTTGCTTTGTTTTATGTGATAATACTTTCTCTTTAATTCTATAAACAGACACAATTTCTTGTTCAAGTCCCGTTAATTGTTGTGCCGAGAATACCGACTAACTTGTGAATCGAAATTTTTTCGTTTTCACTAACCTCTCTGTCACATTCTTCACGCCTTTATCCATTTTTTGCAGCAATTCCACTTTTTGTTTGATGGACATCGAAACATACTTTTGTTTTGTATGATCCTTTGGGAGCTCCAGAATCGGAAATTCTATTTGACATAATAGAAAGTTCAAGTTTACTTTTATAAAATTGCTCTTATAGTCTGAAAAAAATAATAAGCCAGATCCAATTCAAAGATTAAGGAACAACGCAATCATCAACATTAACTGAAATATATAATTAGATAATTTTAGATTATACCATCCGTTATGCATAAAACGCGCACACGAAAACGTATTCTGCGCTTGCGCACACGCATATGCGCAGTGGTAAAAGGTCTTATGTGCACGCGTAAACGCCTTTGCGCATGTGTCAACGCAGCGCATGCGCAGAAAGTTTTTAGGTTTGAGGTCCGGATTATAGATCATTCCGGATTATGGGTGTCCGAATTAATAGCTTTTGACTGTAATAACTAAGAACTGATTATAGACTTTTGGGGAAAGAGATGAAGTGCGAATAATGTTAGGTGCAAAATTGTTAATGTTAATTTGAGATTGCAAAATTTTACTACTTATCAGCAACTGCTGATTGAATTTTGCTAGTATTTTGGATGATAAAAATTACTTTCGTAATTGTATCTTTGTCCCCCAAATGACATGACTGACACACATTTGCATTGATATGACAGCATAATATCAAGATTATAGTAAAATAGTTGTCAGCATTTTTTTGGGGGGGGGCTCAGAAATGAAATTAAACAACATACAACTATTGAAATATATATTTTATTCTAATATGGTTCTTGTTATAAAAATATTTACACAGAATAATCAAAACATTTTTACTCCTAGGCTTAGTCAAAAATAATAATGCATGAAATATTTTATTTAAAGTAAATTTTCAATTTTTATTACTTTACAAATATGCATTCATCATCATAAACATCTCTAGCTAGATCTAAAAATTAACATCTTAAGGAAAAGTGCAAATTAAATATCACAGAAAATGTTAATATTTGCAAAGTGTGCATGAAGGAGTTCTCCAATTTAAAATTAACTCAGAAATTGAGATCGATAGAAGAATGAAAAATGAATTTTTACAATTTTTAAGATAAACTATAAAAATCCGATACAGTAGTTTCAATATCAGTTACAAATGTTGCAGCACAGGGTCCAAGGAGCAGGCCTTAAGGTGTTCTTTACAAGCAGTTATTACAATCCACATGACAACTGATTCAAAACGTTCACCTTTTGCAGCACAAAGATGGTGCAAATGAAGAATGAAATTTTCAGCCAATCTTCATAGTATCAGTGGAAATGGTCAAGTCTTTAAGTTCATCCAATAAATTTTTCAAGTTTTTTCTTAAAGGATGCAATAGTTATTACTGACACTTTTAAAACTTTTAAATGAATATCAAATTTAATTAAATAAGATACTAATATTCTAATTTATTTTTTACATTTACTTTAAAAATGCCCATATAATGTCCCTGTCCACATAATAATTTTTCTAGTTTTTAACTTTATGTTTTCAATTTACTGACTTGGGGGAGGGATACTAATTTTACATTTTTAGAAATATTTTCTCAAAAACCTCTCTTCTTTAGAAGAAAGGTTAATTTTCTAAAAGGATCTCTTTAGAAAGTCCTCATCTTTTGAAATTTCTGTACCAGATTTTTAAGGCTTCTCAACATTGTCATCAAAATGGAAAACTTCCAATATATTGTCTTCATTTAAAATCACTTCTCCACATTCCTTCAAATTCCATTAAATGGAAAATTTTGCCTTTTGCTTGTGATATTTTAAAAACACTCAAGGGTTGAATGTATGTTCACAGCCAACATCAATTAATGTAGTAATGTACCTGGTCATGATGTAATTCCATAACCAGCAAGTGTTTGAAAGTAACATGCAAAAATTTTAGTCAAGAAAAAAAATCCCTTTCACAACACAACTGTTTTTTCTTATATTCTCCATTCCTGGACTTTATAAGGGGTAAAAAAAATCTCATGACCAGAGGTCTAGATATAGACCATTTCAGATTTCAGACTTTGTACTGTATTAGCTTACACATCAATCTGTACCTTAAATAAACCCATATTTATAAATATGCATTGCTCTGTATATGTACTTCAGGCTTTCAGTCTTCACTTTTTCTGTATTTTGACATTTTTTCAACAATATGCAAAATAATATCATCAAACTTCAATCACTTCTTGGTACAAATTAGGCATAAGAACTGTATGTAAATCATATGATTAAAAATGATGCGTATGCTTTACTTTTTTTTTATCTGAAATCAAATACAACTTTTGATGCTATCTTTTCTCATAGGACATAAACTTCAATTAGATAGCCTTTTTTTTCTTCTGCTTGAAATTAATTGCCTCTGTATGATCTGATGCTCTTTTTCTTTCATGGGACATTTTACGTAAAGAATATTTTTTTACAACACCAGATTTTTTTTTCTTCAGCATTTCTTCCAATTTAAATTTAACTCCAGAAGCTAAATAGTCAGATTCTCTGTTTTGTTCATTTTGTTTAACAATGTGTTGGTTTTTATTATTGCGTGAACAGTAAGAATTCATTAAACTATAGTTTGATGTTTTTGATACCATTGCAGAAGTATTATTTGTACTTTGTGATTCAGGTAATTGCGATGTTAGCAATTCTATTTGATGTTTACAAAGATTTAGTTGAACCAATATTTCATTAATTTTACAATTATCAGGCAATACAGTTTCTTCAGTGCTTTTCTGCTGCAATTTTAGTTGTTGCACAGCTGTTTCCAGTGAATTAACTTTCTTCCTAACAAGCTCCGCAGAATGTTTCAAGGTAGAAATATCCTCCCTATTACTGAAAATAAACATAATAATAAATAAGTTGTAAGCGAAAAAAATTTTAAAACAAGTTTTAATTTTTCAAAATATCAGATATAATTTTACACTAGCAACACATGTGCAAACTAAATATCCTGAAGTAATTATATCACAACATTTGTATATATATATATATATATATATATAAAAAAAAAAAAAAATGCTGTTAAGTTATGATGCGAAACAATCAAGATTCAAGGTTAGTCTTATGTACAGTATGTCTTAAGTCCGAGATCCGGAAGCCCAGTATCCGGATTGATCTAAAATCTGGACCTCAAAGCAATCACCAACTTTATTTATTTATTTTGTGTGTGTGCGCTTCATGCATGTGCATTTACTTGCCCCCCCCATGCATGTGGAGAGTCCCGATTCTTAATTTCACTTTGGCACTAAATAAAATACCTTGTTATTGAAGAATCAATTACTTTAGCATAAATTTGATTGATCAGTGATTTGGCTGCATACCTGCTTGGCATACATCTCAAACCGAAAGATTCTACATAGATATATCGCTGATTTGACACCTGCTAATATTTTATATCCCTGACTACCTGGCGAATCATTATTTATAATATTTTGCTTTCATCACCGCATGTTTATCAACACATGACAACTTGAGTAAAAACTCATATAGCGACACCTAAATTTTTTTTTTTTTTTTTTTTTTTTTTTTTTTAATGTTAGCAATTGAATAACAAAGAGTATAGTAACCTTTTATGTTGACATTGCGCTTGGCAATGCTTACAGATAACGTGCTAAAAATATTGACAGGAAAAATTTAACAAACATTTCTTTCCCTATGCTAAATATAAATTTTGTTAATGATACTCATAGGCCAAAAGACTGCATTCAGTGCTAATTGAATTAAGAATAACTGATTTGTTATTCATATAAACTTAGAAACAGCGCCAGAGCTTGTATGGACGCACCGAGTGGTAGAATTTAAGGAAGCTTAAGGAAGGCGCTTGGTAACATGAATTTAGGACCTGCAGAGACTGCATCAGGTGGCAAGATTTCTAGCACCAGCTCTCAATTAGCCTTAAGTATATGTAGGAATTTATTTATTTAGGATTAAATTAAAGGAATGTGAGGGGAATAGGCATGAGTATAACAAATAACTAATACAAATCAGGCTTAATTGTCTCAGTACGCAATAGAGGCAAGATAAAATATAGCGGAATAACGTCTTTAGTCGCCAATCTCATGATATATAGCCAAATATGTATAGTGAACGATAGCTAAATTTTATGGTTCTAGAGACAAAGTTTTTTTTTTTTTTTTTTTTTTTTTTTTTTTGAGATCGGAGAGATGGAAAAACTAGCAATCGCCTTTGCCAGGAATCGAACCACGGACCTCTGGAATACCGGCCCAGCGTACAGAACCACTACACCATTAAGGTGGGAGAAATACTTATATACTCCCCCTTTTAAAGGATGATGGGGATTTTTAGCGGACCCAATTGCCAAATTCTGTGTGGGGAGAAATCATCATCCACAACCCTTTTACTCCGGGCACCACTGTAGAGACATTAGAATTTTTTTCGGAAGCAGGAGATATGAAAAAGTAGCAAGGCCTTCACCGGGAATTGAACCACAGACCTCTGGAATACTGGCCCAGTGTGCAGAACCACTACAGGGTTCGTACACATTTCTGCACACAGAAATTAAGTACTTTTAAGGACTTTTAAGGACCATTAATGAAAAAAATTAAGGACCTATGAGCAAATGCTAACTGAATAAATTCAATTAAAAATATTATCTATGCCTGAATTTTACTTTTGTAATACCATCTTAAAAATAAAATATATCCATTATTACTAAACATGAATTAATTAACACAATTATTAAAAAGATTGAGAATGAAATAAACTTTAATTAATTTAAAAAGTAGCATTAAATATTTTACACTTATAATATTTGGACATATTTGAAAGAAGATACGTGGCATTTACGTTTTACTAACATTTAGCATTATGCTGATTTTTTTTAATGTCTCATTTTGTCACATACTTGGTCAGTCTAGAAGTTTAGTAAATAGCAGGTAGATTTTATGTCAAACGGCATAGGTTAAAATGAGAAGATCATAATCAGCATGATTCATAACAAAAAGATTGAATGTTGTCACCACTGCTGCTTGTTTAGAAAGAGAACTCCTCATTAGAATAAAACTTAAAGGCCTGATGTAGGCATGGTTGGCAAGTGTTGAAAGTTAATTAGGCTCTGTTTGATGCAGTTAGTGTCATAGGTTCGTGTAGATTTCCAGGGGTTGTAACCTAGTTAATATACCATAAGGTTCCAATAATCCATTAAAGCACCAGAATTGGTAAGTTATTTTGTATTATTTTAAGTCTCACTAGATGCAAAGAATAAGTTTTACTTGAATTTTCACACTTTTGTATTCTATCTTGTGACCACAGTGAGTATTAATGAAAGGCAATAACTCACTTTAATATGTAGAGATAATTTTCAAGGATAAGCAGTTAGTTATAAATAATTAAATTAGGTAGTTTGATAACCTTAGTCGTTATGGATTTACATGGCCATTATTAAATTTTATTTTTTAAAAGTTTTTGTTGAAATGCCCTATTAAAATCAAAATCTAATAAAACTTCACAGTTTAAAATACATGTAATTTATGACACAGATTCTTAAACGATATTACGATAATTACACATTAAAAGCTACAAAACATTTATGTTTTGTAACAACAACACCACTCAAACAAAATATTTATCTGTCATTTTAACTTGAAGCCTTCCCAAACATTTTGGCTACTTTTATATCGATTTCTTGTCTTTAAGGCATCTTTTCTAACAATTAAAGATTTGTCTCAATATGCAAACCAATGCTCTCGCTAATTTCTGCGTGCTTTATCTCCTAACTTGTCAACCTCTCCATAGTGTACCTATGAGGGTTTACTTGATCTGGTAAAAGTTAAATAGTCCAAAACCTCTGATAGACACGAAACAAATTAACTACTATGTCTAAAAGTAACTACAAAGTCACATAAAGGTTTACATAAACCTCTTACTTAAAAAGAACTTAGAACATAAAGGCATGTTATGATGCTAACAAAATCAATTACAGCTCACGCCGACGTAATTAAACAAGAACACTCAAATTCAAACTAAAAATGTGGAGTAGTGGTCAAAGATTATACAATTTAATTTTAATTTAATCTGGCTCAGTAACTCTATCATATGAGGAAATAGGCATGGAAAATTAGAGTAAATGCTGAAATCATAAACAATTGGGTAATTTACATAATAATAATAACTGCACATATCTTTGAAGAATAATTTTCTTTATGTATTCAGTTTCTTTCTTCTTCAACACATTTCTTCTTCATTTTAGAATTTTTGGATTTAATTAAGCATTTCTGTTATTCTAAAAAACACTAAATGCATTTAGAATGTATAGAAAATGCGGCTAATCTTATTTCTTTAGTAATATTAACATTTATAAGAAATATGAAATATATATGTAAAGGCCGGTTACAGATCTGATGAGGCAGAATAGTTAGAATTTAGTGACACACCGAACAACAAAATTTAGAAATGGCAAAACTTTTAGAATTTCGAGCAGGCATTGGAAGCAAAATTTAGAAAGGCACTAGGTAGCAGAATTTAGGATCCACAGAGATTGCATAAGGTGGGAAAATGCCTAGTGCCAACTATGTGTATGATGCATTAGGACAAATTAGATGAATCTTTTAAATTGTAAGTTTTCAATTTCTTTATTAATAAAAAAATTTCTTTCTATAATGCCTGACCATGTGATAAGATTAGAAGCATTTTTGATATTTTCCATACTTGAGTCTAGTGAAAAGTAGAGAAAATAAAAGGAAGATAAACATGTTAAAAGATTCTAGTATCAGAAGTAAAACATTCAAATATTATGTTTTCACTGTTCTTCCAGGCATCCTCCAACAAAAATAAGAAATTCATTGAAAACTTTCTGTAAAATACATCCATTACGTGTTGACACCATGGAGACATTTTTCATTTTTCCGAATCTTCTAGAATAGCGGGTCTATAAAACTTGCCTTCAAATCCTTCTAAACCTTCCAAGCTACAATGTCTAAAATACTAAAGAAAAATTATCCGTACCAATTCTGTAACAGCAAAAAGACAAAAACATTTTGGAAAAAAAGGAGGGAAAAGGTATAAAATTAATTTTATAGAGAAAACTGATGCATATTCTGAGACAATTACATGAGAAAAAATTAAAAAAAAAGAAGACATTTTTAATTATTTACATAGCTAATTTTGTTTTTGCTAAGAGCTGTTTTGTAAACTGTGCTTTAGAGCATTATACCTTGTTTATTTTTCAGATTCAAAATATTGTATAATAAGTTGCCAAAATGAAACTTTATTATATGACAGCGAAAAATAAAAATGTTTTATTTTAATGTTTCAATATATTACCATTATTTTAATGAAATTTATCAATGTTACGATCTTTAAAAAAAATCGTCGAAAAATTCTCAGATCTCGGAATTAAAAATTTTCTATCGAAACTGATCTTAAAATCGCCAAAATGTTGATAAGCCTCCAAATTTAGAACCATTTAATAAAAGAATTCACATCCCCAAAAGCAAAAAGTTGTTTAAGAGCTCTTTATTAGAAAAAATGAATTTCGAAATGCTTGTGTTTCACTTCTTGCTTAGAAACTGGAGTATCCCATCATTTACATTAGAAAAAGAAACAAATTATAATCCATGAACCTATTCAAAAGATAACCATATATATCAGTGAATCTCCAAAAATATTCCTCTAAAATGCTAATTCACACTCAAAATGGCAGTTGTAAAAACAGACAGAAATTTCAAATGATTAAAATTAAGGACCTTCTGCTAGTTTGGCGAAAATTAAGGACTTTTAAGGACCAAAAATCAACTTTTAAGGACTCTTAAGGACCGTACGAACCCTGCACTACACCACGAAGGCATGCTAGGAAGGTGGGAGAAATACCTTAT